TCGGGCTCCCTGCTCGGCGGGGAGTCTGCTTCTCCCTCTGACCCTCCTCCCTCTCATGCTCTCTGTCTCTCATTCTCTCTCTCTCAAATAAATAATAAAATAAAAAATCTTTAAAAAAAAAATAACTCAGAGCACGGAACCATCAATGGGGTATGAAAGGCAGGGCCCTGGTGCAGGCAGTTCTACTAGCGAAGTCAGCGTGGCCCAAGAGGACACAGCAAGGATCACCTGTCCAGGCAGCCCCTCTGACTTTCCACCCAACAGAAATGGACAACTTTCTAGGATGGGCATTCTGAGTGGTATTCTGTAGCTTGCAGCTGAAACAAAAAGTGCACACAGATACATACAGAGAAAGGCTCTTGCTTCTCTGGGTTCTCCCATTTAAGGCACCTTGATGGAGAGGCTAGGAATATGGCCTCTGAGGTCGTCTACACCTTGAATCCAGGCTCTGCTTTTTCCTAGCTCTGTGTGATCCACAGCAAACAATGCTATACTTTCCTGAACCTCAGTTTCTTCACCTGTAAGATGGGGATGAAAATCCCTCCCTTTCAGAATTGCTGTGAGCATTAAGTAAATTCGTGTATGCAGTGGCCTGTCACTGAACAGGCTGTCAGTCCATGGGACCTGCAGCTGGTATCCCCGCTCACTGCCCTTGCTGTCGCCACGGCTGTGACTGTGTCCCCCGACACGGACTGCTGTAACCACCACCCCCATCACTGTTGTTACTGCCAGTGCTGATGTCAGCCAGAGAGGATTTAATTCCATTTATCACAGAAAGGTGCAGTGAGAAGCACAGAATTTGAATCGTAACAGGATTTTATGATTTCGGAGTAGCTTTAAGGGTTCTGAGGGACATCAACATTCTCTCTCTCTCTTTTTTTTTTTTTTAAGATTTTACTTATTTATTTGCCAGAGAGAGAGAGATTGAGAGAGGGAACACAAGCAGGGGGAGTGGGAGAGGGAGAAGCAGGCTTCCCGCGGAGCAGGGACCCCCCACGCGGGGCTCGATCCCAGGACCCCGGGATCATGACCTGAGCCGAAGGCAGACGCTTAACGGACTGAGCCACCCAGGCGCCCCGGGACATCAACATTCTTGAAGATGCAGTGAGTAGAGGCCAACTCATGCCTAAAGCTTCCTGCCCCTTCTAAACTATAAATCATAGATTGAATTGTCCCTTTAAGAAACTAGAATCAGATGCTATATATAATTTGACACAGCATCAGTATTTGAAGACAAATACATTTAAAAGAATTTAAAAACTTAGAATATCGGCTGAGGAGATACCAATCAAAGGCAGGTGATCTGAAATTGGGAACATCGCTTAGACTGGAGGAGGTAGTAAAACAGAAAGACGGTGTTTCCAGCAAGAGAGAGCAGGAGAATGAAGAGTACTAGCAAAGACACATGGCCTGATGCATTTATAAAAAGGAGGAAATTCCTGGGATGTGGAAATTGAGTGAATGCAAAATGACATTCATTAACATTTTGCTTTTTAAAAAGGAAGCATGAAATCATTTAGCTTTAGTTCTGCACAGAAAATAGAAACACTTGTGTTATCCACTGGTAAGATTATTTGGGGACTTTACCAACAGTTTTAGGAAGTGGAAAGAGAAAAGAAGAAACAGTGGAAGGCTTGAAAGATGAATTTGGCAGGGAAGACGGAGGTGGCTGGACAGTAGGGAGGAGAGCAGAGGTGAATGCTTGGGTCTATTATGTTAATATGTGACCAGTCCTGAGTTGTCTACTTGCCCAGATGGAGGGTCTCAGTGGATCAGAGCCATCCTTACTTTACAAACGGACAGGGGAGACCAAAGGTGCCTTTGTTTTGAAAGTTCTTCTCAGAGCCCATGAAATGTAGACTGCAAGATTTATCTTTAAAAATATTCAGGCAGAATGATCAGGTAGGGATAGACAAGTCTTTATTTTAAATATCTTTTGATAAGGGAATTTGGAAAAAGTATGCCATGTGGAAAGCTACCTACTGAGGTGAAACAATTAGATTTATAAGCATATTGCAATTTAAAGGAGTTTCCACATTTGCTAGCACATTAGATGTTGTACTTAATTTTCTGTTGTTTTTTTTTTATAGCTTTACTGAGGTATAATTTGCATACCATAAAATTTGCCCATTGTTAAGTGTATAATTGGTTGATTTTTAGCAATTATATAGGGTTCTGCAGCTATCACCTTCCACTCAGATTTTTTTTAAACCAGAGATCTTATTTGAAAATATTTTTGGGGCACCTGGGTGGCTCAGTCGTTAAGTGTCTGCCTTCGGCTCAGGTCATGATCCCAGGGTCCTGGAATCGAGCCCCGCATCGGGCTCCCTGTTCCGCGGGAAGCCTCCTTCTCCCTCTCCCACTCCCCCTGCTTGTGTTCCCTCTCTCACTGTGTCTCTCTCTGTCAAATAAATAAATTTTTTAAAAAAAGAAAATATTTTTATTTTTAACATCGAGTTAAATGTGTAAACGTTTTTATTTAATTTAGAATATTTCATGTCTAATTTAAGCTGGTATTGCCTATGAGAAAAGCAGAGAATGTAAGTCATTTTATTTTATTTTTTTAAAAGATTTTATTTATTTATTTGGCAGAGAGAGACACAGGGAGAGAGGAAACACAAGCAGGGGGAGTGGGAGAGGGAGAAGCAGGCCTCCCGCCGAGCAGGGAGCCCGACGCGGGACTCGATCCCAGGACGCTGGGATCATGACCTGAGCCGAAGGCAGATGCTTAACGACTGAGCCACCCAGGAGGCCCAAATGTAAGTCATTTTAAAGTAGCTTGCACCTAAGAGCAAAAATGTTAAACGTCTTCTATTTTATACACCATAGGCTTATTCTTTCTTTGGAAAACACATCTAAATGAACTAACATTAGCTCAAAGTCACTTCAAATTTTAAAAATTTATTAAAATGTAACTGATGAGCAATGATAAAATAATAGGTGAAAATATTTTTTCAATTATTCTAGAAGGAAACAGAAGTGTTTTAATTGTTATACGTAGAGCAAGTAATTTCTTTCTGACATTGTCAGAAATTTAGAAACCAGTTAGCCAAATAGTACTTACTAAATGCAATTGTATACCTATTTCTGTCCAAGATGCTGTGGGGAGGTATGTGATTCAGTAGACCGAATTCCTTACTCTCTAGGGTAGTGGTGAGAAATTTCCCTACTTTCTTTTCATTCAGGCCCACTAACCTAAAATGGAAAAAAAAAATTATAGAAACTCTTGATTTACATTTTTTAATAAAATAAGAATCCCATTTGCCTCCTTTTAATATAAAAAGAATTACAAAATTCTTTAATAAGTACAACAAAAAATTCAAAGAATGCTCTGAACTTCTTATAATCGACTAAAGGAGAGAAGGCAACGGATGGTGGTGGGGTGTAGAGATGACGTGAGAGGAAAAGAAGATAAAGAGGAAGCAAGTAAGGACTCATGGAAAGGAAAACGAGGAAGGAACAGTAAAAGCCATACAGAGAAACACACATCCAGACCCACACATACAAAAAGGGAGAAATACTCTTACGAGAAAAAAGAGAGAAGATGTCCAAAGAGTAAAACCATCCTTTCATGGCCCTTGTTTCGATCTTGCTATGAAAGACACTGAAAGCCATGGTGTGTTTGTGCAACCACAGGTGTTAAGTGAGACACAGGACATTGGGAACCTGTCCTTCGAGCGAGATGAAATGGAGCTCGGGGCTAGATATGGCCTCTTTGCCAAAGGCTCCCAGTCTAGCTCGGAGAGTTTCCAATCTACGCGGGGAGATGGAACGAATGATGACTAATAAAACAGAGCAGGGTTTGCAGTAATCAGAGCCAAGAAGTATTTCTGGGGCAGGACAGAATTGAGAAGGAGGGTGCGATGTGGGGAATAATAGCAGGGAGGGTTGGGAAGGCACACAGATACTCTGTGCTCTTTCCCTCCTCATCCGTTTCTGCTCATGCAAGAAAAAAAAAAGTGTATGACTAAGAGAAAGATACTAATCTTAACTAACCAAATTCACATTTTGTTTGTGACTGAACAGTTTTAAGGCTCTATCTAGTTTTGGTCATTAGTGTGGGGTTCAGTGTGACCCAAGTGAAGCCACATTTATGCTAACTGTTCATACCTTTATTTACAAAGTGAGCCCGGAATGCTGCTAAGTGCTCTATCACCACCTTGGCTGTGAGTGACCGCAGGTAACTTCTAAACCCTTCTTGAGTCTCAGTGTCTTAAGCTGTACACTGAAAGGATTTAACTGGTAGATTTCTGAGATTTTATCCAACTAAAAGAATTATATTTTTAATTGAAACTGAGCAAACAAATATCCTGAGAATATAAATCAGAATAGAAATACTCCGATTAAAATATCTCTAAGAGCGGGTTCTAAATTAAGGACGAAGCAAACAACTTTAGAAAACATCAGATTTAACCTACGTATACAATTTCTTATCTTCTAATACTGAACCATTTGCCACTAAAACTATGTGAAATAGGATATATCGCACTAGAATTGTATTGCCTTAGTTTAAATGTTTAGAAATCTGCGATTTGTTGCTAATCAGATCAACCCTGAAGTCCTCATTGGCAGACTCTCAGCTTTTTAACGAATTTGACTTCTTAAAGTCAAAATTATGGCATATAGTTCTAAAAATATTAAGTGAACAAGGAGATAAGGGGAGAAATGTAATAACCGAGCATCTCAAAAGTAGAGTTGTATCCCTTCAGTTTTCATTTTCACTAGAAATCGCTCGGTTCTGATTTTAGTATTCCTACTTACAAATAAAGGGGGGAAAGGCTGTGGGTGGTGGGATGCATGGGTGTGGGAGGGTACATTGTTGTCTATTAGTGGAATCAACCCTTTCAGCAGACAAAGACAACAACCAAATCTTTAGATGGTTTATTTGATCTGCGTGAAAGAGTGGCAGTGGGATTTCTGGCACTTGAATAAGCGGAAACAATATTTTTGGCTAGAGAGACTTCTGAGTTCTCTCAGGGAGCCTTCTAGAAGGCCATCTGGCCCCAACAGTATTTCTTTTGTAAAGCCCTGCATTTGGAAACACAAATGAAAGGTGTATGAGCAGCAATCAGATACCTATGAAAATAATTTGCTTTCAATACTTGGGGGGGGGTTATTATTCTTTGTAATTCTCTAGATGAAAAGACTTACATGAGGGAAAAAAGCCTCTCTTTCTTTATTAAGATATAAATTCCCAGTTTATATTCCAGTAGAGGATTTGCTTATTAAGGTAAACTTATTAATTTGCTCTACGGTTTTCTCATGAGTGAAATTAGAATGTTTCAGTGATATTTACAGTTGTTATGTCAAGGTGTGACCTTGTTTTTGACCTTTATAATTGTTAATTGAACCTAGATTTTAAAGATGAACATTTCCCATTCCTTGGTTTTTAGCTAGCTTGTGAAGCTCTAACAAATGAAAAATATTGAAAAAGTTAAACGAAATCATTCCAAAACCAAATTATAATGATAATGAGTAAAACTGAAAATGAAGCAAAGCTGTATTTATAGTCAGATACTGCAGAAAATAGGAATATACCTAGCAAAGTACCTTTAAAATCTATCACATGTAATATACTTTGCTATTCTTTCACATTTTTCTTTAGAGTCTCCACACAGAAAGAAATGCTAAATTCTTATATTAAGATATCTTAGGATTACTGATCAATCATTTCCTTTAGCTGTCATTTTTGCCCAAGAAGAAATGAATACAAAAAGAGCAAAAATGAGCACTGAGTTTATAATAGAGACTTGAAAAAATATACTGTATCATAATACATGAATGTATATATATTGCATAAATATTTATATGTACTTATATGTAAGTTAGAGTTTCCATTGATATATAGTAATATTAACTAAATATTTGCTTGAGATGTTTTTATTTCAGTTACCCAATTTTCGTACTATACACAATTTTAAGTTGATAAAAAAAGAACTGTAAAAATCCCATTTTTAAGAAGCAATAATAAATTCAGTTCTGAATGGAGAATTTTCAAATAGTGGCATTACCACTGTTATGGAAAAGATGATAAATAAAATTAACCTTTAAGAAAATCTTCTATAGGTTTAAAATAAATCACATGGGAAGTGATTTATCCTGGCTGAAGTTTCTACCAAATAATTTGAAGCTAAAATTATTAATGACATGCAGGTTGTATCTCAAAATGTATTTTTCTGGAAGGACTGGAAAAAAACTCAAGTTTGATGAATATTGCGGATATATATCTCGCAACTGACGTCGGCTAAGTTTGACATATTTTAGCTTATGGGAATTAAAATAGAAGCATAGAGTATGTGAAATGTTTAAGCTTTTTCCAACGGATTTTAATAAGAGAAGATGACTTTGAGTCCCTAATGTCAATCTATAGCCTAATTCTTATTAGGGGGGACTATTGTGCCAGGAAAAATGCTTTTGCCTGTAAACATCTATAGTTTCCTGAAACAAAGCAGTCACAAGCACCACTATCCGCCAAACAGTGACAGATTCTATGAACAGATTATTATTTCTTAACGTAAAGTATTTTTCACCTGACATTAGACTAAGGGGCATCAGACTTTATTTCCTAAGAACTTCTAATTAAAACGAAACAACAAAAAATTCTGTGACACCAAAGACAGGTCTCCAATAATTTATCTACTTTGTGATCTAAGTATTCCCACAAATTTTATTATTTGGAAGGAACAGAAAAAAAGGTACAACTTTTATTTTTGATAATTATTTTTATTACAATATTGCTATTGTTATTATTATTATACAACAGTACTAATTATTATCACTATAGAAAACACAAAGGACCCAGCATTACCTGCAAACTTCAGCTATACCTCTGGTCTTAGGGCAGAATATAATTTAGGATGGGAGCAGAAGTAGAGAAAAGCAAAATATATAATTTTGCCTTCTTGGGTCATTTCTACTTAAAAACATTACTTGAATGAAATTTTCATCGGAGGGGAAAAAAGGTCTTTTGGAAATCTGTAACTGTCTCACTAGGACACAAACTATCAGTTTACCATCCTTAACAGAGTTACCTGTGCTTTGGACAAAGTATCCGAGGGTGTATGTTTTCATCAGCGATTCACATTCGAAATAAAACAGATTAGATGTTTGTTGGAAGCAATACTTTCTACAATTGAGCAACCTATTTATACTAAATCTTTACAAACAGAACACACATTATTTAAACCCCAAGACCCTTCAAGACCCAGAGTCACCTACCTGCAGACCCAATTTTTGTGACCAGCCAATTTATAGGCAAAGTGAAAGAAACATGCGAACTGGATAAAATAACCATATGTCCCCACTGGAAGCCCCATTACTTGAATCATTTAAACCTTGCTGGACAAAGCACCAGGAGAATTTGCTGTAGGAAACAAACCTACGCCAATGGGGCAGGGAGGAAATGACCTAATGGTGAGTCTCCCTTCTGCTCTAATTTCTGTGGTTCTGTGTTAAGAAAAGCTGTCCTACCACTCTGTTGTGAAACCTTATGCCCCAACAAAACAGCATTTCTTACTTAAAAAAAAAAAAGCCAGTTCAGAATTTAACATTTAAGTTGCCATCATCAAAAGGCAAGGACACTTTGGGACAATTTTGTTCGGGAACACTTTTAAGATACAATGGAAAAGTATTTTTTCCTTCGTTCGAGAACTGAAAATGCCAGCAAAAGAGTGTGTTTCTAGTTCGAATTTTGTTTGCTGGCGACCCGAGATTTAGGGTAACCTCTTCCATACTCCTGGCTGCTTACGATGCTAAGTGGCATCCTTTGATGTTATTCAATGTGAAACCCAGTGTAGGCGGTTAATGGAGGCAGTGTTGGCCCAGCCTGGAACTCTGCTTGGTCTGCCATTTTGATGGCCCATATTCTGCCTCAGTTTATTCTTTCAGTAGGAAGTATTTATCAGCGGACGTAAGGTACACGCAGAGAGGTAGAGAACATTCGGTGTGTGCGGAAGTACAGGTATGACAGGGGGCGTGGATGGAGGTCTTTGCATGTATGAATGAAAAAGTACATGGCGGGCGCCTGGGTGGCTCAGTCGTTAAGCGTCTGCCTTCGGCTCAGGTCATGATCCCAGGGTCCTGGGATCGAGTCCCACATCGGGCTCCCTCCTTGGGGGGGAAGCCTGCTTCTCCCTGTCCCACTCCCACTGCTTGTGTTCCTGCTCTCGCTATCTCTGTCTCTGTCAAATAAATAAATAAAATCTTTAAAAAAAAAAAAAAGAAAAAGTACATGGCCCTTCTGTCGCCGTAAATATTTATGTGCATTCATGGAGGCACTGGGTTTTGGAGTCAAGATATAGAAATGGACATTAAAACAACGTGATTTCCAAAACATATTTCTATAAACTGCAGTGTTTTTCTGATAGCCACTCCTGACTTGAAATGAAAGAATGCTATTTATCCTGAAATTGGTGTAAGTCCAAATGGGAGGTTTCCAATGTCACATATTTTGCCTTTTGATTTTAAGTGCCAGTTTGTGTAAAGACGAGCCTTTGAGTGTGTGAGGGTGAGCAAGAATACAAGGTCGGAGCTGAAGGCAGGTGTCCGTAATGACAGGGAGGGAGTGACCCACTTAATACTGCTACCCACGTTCCCAAGTCCTGGGATTTTCAGGTGTTTTTACTGCCGGTGAAAAGTGCAAGTGATACCTCTCACATTGAGGTATTCGGTTTACCACTGAAGCCGGTTTTGTCTCCCCCCCCCCCCCCCCCGTAAGGGGCTGTTTAACGTTTAGAACCTTGGTAATGTTTCAGCATTCTTTCTTCCCAAGTACTTTTGCATCGCAGGTATTAAAACTTCACTCCTTATGTAGGTAACAAGGCTGAGTTTAGAGAGTACCTCTAGGATGGATTTATAAATGCAACTTTCCCCCCATTCTCTTACAAAGAGGCAAACGGTATTACTGCAAATAACCTTTAAGATAATTAACTGACAATGCTGCAACTAGCATAAAATCTTCCTTCAGGCGACACCTAATTTAAGTGTTACTGGCACAAAGTGGAGACAGATTGCGCATCACCACTGCAATATTTACATAGCAGAAACCCACAGAGCAGGAAACGCGAGGCTCAATGATGCACTAAATTAGGAACAACCGTACTCCAGTGTTAATTTGCTCTCCGTTCTATCCAGATCTCAGGTCCAGAAATTGGTACAAACACATACACAACCTCCCACTCTTAAATGACTAAACCGGAGGAGCTTTTTGTACATTTTTGCCCCCAAATTAAAATAACTTGAAAATTTATTTCCTCTCTCCACAAGAACCATTTGATCAAACTGTGTTTATTTCATTACAACTTGCTCTCACTTTGATCTAAAATTATTTTCATATGAATGCTGCATCGGAGTCTATAGAGAAAAACTAAACAGACTTCTATTTTCTCAAAGGCTTGCCAATATAGTTTATGAAAAGAATAACCTCTAGAGAGACTTGAGGGCCAGGTAGTGAAATATTCAGAAACTTGGAAAGGCAAATTTACCTTAAGCGAATTTCTCCCTGATGAATGCTGTCCCCTCCCCCCTCCCCCCTTACTACGCAATGAGTTTTTGAAACGATTCAAACGATATCTAGTTTATGTTTTTCCCCCCACAGTATTTTAAACACCAGTTTCACCCAAGGCATTAACAAAACATTTACCTTTCCTAATTGTTGATGTTCTTTAAAGGCAGCGATCAGTTCTTCAGCCCACTTAATTTTTCCAGGGGAAGGAGAAAACTCTTCCTGCACCACGGCAATTTGGTTAGGGTGTATCACCTGCTTACCTACAAGAAGATTAATAACACCGGAAACACGAAACAACAAACAGATGTTCAAACAAAATGTCTCAACCACGAAAGGCTCCTAATGCTTCACAGTCTGTATGTAAAATAACTAATTATTTTAGAACTTTTTAAAAAGAAAGTAACTGCAATCTGGCAGGCTTTTCCAGAATACCACATAAGAAACACAGAAGAATGGGAGTAATTGTGTTTCTGATCCTATAGAAATGCCACCTTAGTGCAGATAATCTCTCATTTTTAGTTACAGGTGGGTTGACTAGGCAGCTTGTTGACTAATCCTTTGGCTGGAACTTTAAAGGATAATATCTGCAAATTAGAGTGATTATTTTGAGTTAAAGTACAAAAAAATTATATGTTAACTCTTTCAAATTTTACAAGTTGTCTTTTGCTTATTTTGTACCATTATCCCACCTGCCATGATTTCTTTTAGAAGTGGTCTGTTGTTTTTCATAAAGCTTACAGAAGCAGATGTTCCAACCATATTAATATCAAATAGTGGCTTACAATAATATATTTAATTTTCTTTCTTTTAGACAAATATAGCGTGTCATTTCTAACCACTAACCGAAAACTGGATTTCAATGAAAAAATTTTATTCAGTACAGTGGAATAGAAGGCAGATTTGAACACAGTGGTCTCTAGGTTACTCCATTTCAAAATGTTTAAATAAAAAAGTTACTGAAAGTTTCTGTATCCATAAACATAACCAGGCTTTCCCTTTTTTCTTGTAGAATGAAGACTGAATATTTCCCTCTAATATAGATATTTAGATACCCCTGAAGAAAGCTGATCTCTGTAGTAATAGCTTTAAAAAAGCCTTCGTTTCAGAGTTTAAGGATCCTAAGGAAAAACATTACACAAACATAACACTCACAGGCTTCTACGAAATCATGCAGTCATTAAAAGGAACAATTTAACAATCGGGGAAGTGTAAAATTTAATCAGGTCATTAATAAAATACAACATAATTTAATGTTATAATAATGATGAGATTGTATTTTATTACATGATAAAATTATGGACATATTTGGTTCTTAAAAATGAATGTGCACTTAATGATAATTTGCTCTCCTAAATATATTCGTCCATATATCAATTTGCTTTGCTTTTGAAATAGTTGTTTTAACATTTAGCCAGTACAATTTATACCCTCGATGTTTTAAAAAAGATAATTCCTGTTACTGTCATTATTGAATAGAAAAAAAACCCCAATATTTGTAAAAAAATTTTTTTAGTATTTCATGGAAAAGAGTTCAAGTGAATAAATATAGCAATACCTTTTCTTCTAGTAGCATAATTAGAACACCTTCACCTTGCTATTATTTCATTCTAATCTGTCAGCATACTAATAAAACATTAAAACCCTGTACAACTAAAGATGCTTTAAATTATTTGAGGAATCGTGCTCACTTCGGCAGCACATATACTAAAATTGAGGAATAATTTCAGGGAACAAATAATACTAGTGATGACAAATGAGAGCTTTTTTCAATAGTAGGTATTGCAATTATATTTAAGTCATCTAATAGTTGTTACAATATTATTAATAAAGGATGTCAGTTCTGGTAGTCATTTTGTACTAATTGTCAGACCTGAATTTTGTAATTTATGTACATAATTTACACAGATGTGTAAAAAGCCAGATTTCACGGGAACTTCTTGGTACAGACACTATGACTTGAGCAAAACATAAACTATCTAGAAATACTGGGAAACCACTGATGGCCTGCGAGTACCAGTATTTTGGTAGTGAGGCTAATTTTAGGATACGTGTTAAGTTTTAGAAATTTGTGAACATCCACGCATGAAGTAATCTGTGGCTGATTCTTGTATACCCCAACAACGGAACATCAGACTTTAATGCCATGTGGGAGTGAAGGAAATATTTTATACAGAAGAGCTGTTATTGGCAAGTTACTGAGGGTGCAAAATTGGAAGACGTTAAAATTTATGACCATGAAATCCTTTTTACAGTACCACTTGATATATCGTGCTTTAAATCAATACCTGTCAAGTCTTTTAGGTGACTGTATGATGGTGTCATTTTTGTCTTCTACAAAAGACTGCAAAAAAGAAGAAAACCTACAGTGCTTCATATTTATCATCTTTCTTCTCAGCATGCAGGACTGCAGTAACTGTGATGACCAAGTCAGCTGTTGAAGCTTTATTCCAAGATTTAGTTTTGGTTTCTTTTTATAAAAATAATTCCTAATGTTAATAGCCACTTATATGGCCAATGCATTGATTTAAAATCAATCCGCATGGACTGTGGCCCCATGAAATAATGACTGCAGAAGAGATGCACGGCTAACTTATAAAAAAATACAACTCATTAAAAAAAATGTATAATTTTTAAAAGTAGAGAAAATCCTTATAGCATAGACTGAGTGTTGCTCCTCAGTGTTAGGGGTAACATGATACCTTCATTAGATTTTAAAACTTTTCAACCACCTGCTTCAGAGAGGGTGTGTATTTCTCCTTCCTTCCTTGCTTTCCTCCCTGCTTGTGCAAAGCCCAAGTTATGGGGCAATTAAATGACAAATAATTAGGACAAACAGATGACAACTGGGTCTAAAATAATCAAAGCCCTTATTGTTTCAAAATACTACAAATAATCTCGTATCTTATTATCAGACTAATTACCTTTTACTGGTATGTAGCAATATAATTGGGACTACAAAGACCTTCTTTCTAAAAATTGGAAAATGGTTATGAAGTGTAGCTCCCTACTTTACTGACTTGTTCACTTGAATATATAATGGGCACTGTACCCACTCTGCCTCCCCATTCTCCCCCTGCTTCCATTTTTGTGTGTGTGTGATTTAATACTCCCTGATGTTGAGAAACAATAGTGCCAAGCCCGTAAGCTCCTCATGCTGAGTTGGGCACAGTCTAGAAAATTTAAATCTGATTTGAAGTAACTTGTCTTCTGCGATTGAATTAGGGACCAATTTAATTCAGCCCTGTTTCTTGGAGAAATTCTCAAACTCCTTTATAAGTTCTGGAGCAAACATTTACCCCAGAGGTAGCTGAGGACACCCAGGTTATACTGAGTGATGGTGATACAGGCCAGCATCAATTCAGTGTTTTCAAATTTTTTTTTTTTTATTGAATTAGTGCCCATTTCACAGCAACATCTGGCTGCTTGGCAGCCAATGCCACACATTTTAGACCAACAACATCGAGGTCTATTAGGTAGATTTCATGGAGTGTCTCTCCAACTTTTCCATTTGGGCTATGTCCTAACTGGTCATTGGAAAGAGGCAGGTGTAACAGGCCACAGGAACAAGGACAACCTCAGGGCCAGGAGAGAGGGACTCTTTCGTTCTTAGTCACTATTAAATGTAGGGAGGATTCATTTATTAATAATTCAGATGATTGGAAAATATTTCTCTATAAGAGATCACATTTATTTACTCATTTATTTATTAAACAAATTTGGGGAATCACATTTTGTTTTAACTCTTCATGTTAAAAACACAAAAACAAATGTCAGAACTTTATTTAAGTCTAATATAACACTAAAATTGTTTCTTAACTTGTTTAATTTTATTTGGGGTTAAACCATCGTCCATTAAGATATGTTTTACATTTAAGGTCACTTTGTGAAATATTTCTTTCAGTAATCCCTAACTGGACACATTTCAAAAATGTTTACAAAAGGATAGCAAGGATGTTTGTCTCTTTTCCTTATTATTTGAGTTCATTTATGATCATGATCTTCTTAGAACTTGCAGCAGAAGAATAAATAAGAATAAAAGAACTTATGGTGTCTCTTATCCATGGTTGCGTGCATGAGTGTGTGAGTACACACAACTGTGGACGTGGGTTTGTGTGTAGAATCCTATTGTGGTTTTGAAAAAAATGGATTTCTGTTGCAAAAACACAATTTTCGGTTGCTACCCGGACTCCTGGGGATCTGAGTGATCAGACACACCAATCAACAGATATCTGCCTGCGCTCCAGGACCGGATTGCGGGGGGACCTGCAGATCTTAGTGCCAGCCAAAGCCCGTAGGTGTCGCCAGGTGCATAGACACTGGGAGGTGGGAGAGAAATAAGGGGCTTGAAGTGGTAGAAGAATAAAAAACTAGTTATGAGTTAAAAAAAAAAAATCAAAGAAGATACCACTGAAGTTTTTTCAGAAATGAATGAATATTTTGAATGTTTGAGGACATTTTTCTTCTCCTCATCAACCCAAATTCTTATGGCAATTCACTCAAAAACACTTCTATAATAGCCTCATCCCTCCTCTAGGGTCAGCAAACCAAAATACTTAGGAGGACAGGAAAAAAAAATGGCAACTAATGTAAAGAGGAAATAAAATGAGGGCTTCATTGTTTGAGTTGCCCAGCCAAAAGAAAACACAACAGTTTGTTCCGTAGGCTCTTGCCCTCGATGGCTTTTTCACATTTCAAATAGTGGAATAAGTATACCAGATATGTGGCTACATTAGAAACACTAATTTCTGGTTATAGTTCTACTTTTCTGGAATGTTTGCTAATTTAGCTACTGCTGTCTAAGATACCATTAAGAATCATACCGGTAAATCCCATTGCAGCTCCTTCCCTTGACTGCCTGAGGAGCCCCTCTCCATCTCGAAAGTCGATGTACACCAGATCTATGGCCTGCAGACCAAAGGCCTTCGCTGTAACGATAATCTTCTGTCGGGCATACAGAATATCTTGGGTTTCTTTACTACTTGTTGCACCTGCAATGGGATGTGGACAGAAAAGGGAGACATGAACTCTGGAAACCAAACCCAGCCACCTATTGTAAAAACTGGGTTTGTAAAGACCTGGGAATTGCTCCCCAGCAAAATGATGATTCTAATATAAACAAGGAGAGGGATATGTGGAGGCAGAGTTAAATCTCACATGTGTCTATTTATCTTGGAAGGCATCTTGCAGTGTCATTGCTTGTGTGTGGGTTAAGAAAAGACCCCTCCTGCATCTCAGGAGATACAACCACAAACGATTTGCTAGGTCACAAATTAACTTCTGGTATATTTTTTCCTTCTTGCCGTTGCTTGGAAAGTATCAGTTCAAAGACAGCACCACAAAAGGTGGCCGAGCAGCTGTGCAAGGAAATGGTTAACTTCTCTCACTGAGCACAGAAATTCGCGTGCTGTGGATGCAATGCCCTTCCATAACTAAGGTTCTGAGCCAAACAGCGCAGCTTCAGGGTTTGGATGAAGAACTTGGGGAAACGGAAGGGCACTCATTTTGAAAGAGGCAGAAAGTGTCCACTGAACTGTCAGAAACACAAAAGTCTCTTGGAAAGACTGGTATTAAAATAGGTTCCTTTTCTTTCCCCCTAGAGGCGGGTGTGTGGGGTGTCGCTGTTTGTATTTGGACCGTGACACTGCTCAGGGAGAGCTCCAGGCTTCAGGCCCCTGGGACTGTGGTTCTGCATGTGGCCTTGGCCTCTTTTCTAGGTGTGCCCCGAGTTACTAGTTAAGACCGGAGGCAGAGTGCCCAAGGGATGGGGAAAATCAGTGGAAACAAGCATACTATCTCAATAAATATTTAATAAGAAGAGTTCTAAAATGTATTTTAGGAGGACTTTAAGATCTGTTTAAAATAATATTTGGATACAACATTTAACGTAGAAAATGATTCATTAAAACAAATGTGAAATTGCCTTAAATTTGTGTTAGAAGCCTGGATAGCCCTCAGACTGATGTGAAAACAAAATAAGCAACGGAGAGGTTGTTCACATATTATACTCACTACGAACAAAGTAGATATCATATATTCCCAAACATATCTGAGGTTGCAACAGGCTTTTTATTATTTTAAAAATGAAGAGAAGTAATAATATAGTGTTCTGGAAGCAGGACAGCTCTGAGGTGCCCTAAATTATCAGAAAGTATTGTCCATTCAGCTGAAAAACCATTGTCATGGTTGGCAAATATATATTGTCATGTAAATGTCCATTCATGAAGGGGCAAAGAAAAAATACACACACACACACACACACACACACAGATACATGCACACATAGAGATTGAAAAAGAGAGAAATGTGTTTGATACCTATGCTGGCTCGAAAGTCTTCTCCTCCAAAAACGACTGCATCTAGAAAAAGACCCACTTGAGGTCCGGTCTTTAGTGCTTCTTCACACACGGCCTGTAAAAGAGCAGAACAAAACCAAATCTCATAGAAATGCGCAATTTAGAGAGGAGCAGCATGGTGGATTTCAGTAACAGAAAGATCCGACTCTTAACAGTTTGCTGAAAGCAAACTGGCAGTCCTAAAAATGCAGCCTAAATTTACCCCTTTTGAAAGGCTTTTAATATTGTCCAAGATAAGTATGTTGTATAGATTTGCTTTGCTTAATGGATTACATTAATATAGTTACAAATATATATTAATATAGTTATAATGTTCGAATCATTGTTCATCTAATTTCTAGAGAAACTTTGAATTAACTCATTTTGATCGTACCGTAAATTACTTCTCTTTTTCCAAAACTTGTTTTTGTTTTAAGAGACTCTCAAACAATAAACATAAAACCACAGGAGAGAAGGAAAGAATTTTTAAATCAAATTAATTGGATTATTTGCATTAGGATCAGGATTTCTTAGTAAATGGTCTCAGGATTAAAGACATACAATACAAAAATCTACAACTCCGGAGGGGCAAATAAAAATGCAACAAGTCATCCAAGATGTATTCATTAGCAGCTTCCATATTTCTATGTGAAAATAAAGATTAATAACATTTGTCCTAGATGTAACTGAATCTACCAAGGTGGAAATTCAGCATGCTAATGTATGTGGGTGGGGAAGACCTGAAAATCGGGAGGACATTGATTAATTTCAGGGGTTGTAAGTGCTTCTACTTACAATATGGAATAAAATGGTGCAGTGGAGTTTAGAATTCAGTCATCGTATGAATCTAGTCGCATCTAAGGGATATGCTTTGATTGTATCTCAGAATTGTGGGGCAGGCTGGAAGAATTTGTGGTTAGTGGGGTAAATGCGCGGATCATGAGGCTTGAAGCAGCTCCCCAAACATATGCACTCTGCCCCTCCTGCATGGTCCAGTAGGTCTCAAAGTTTCCTCTCGGAGCGCTTACTCACATACTATCTCTCTGGGCAGTTTCCAACTATCTCTTTTCTTTGTTTTTAGGGATTTCTTCCCTCCTGCCTTCTGAGACAGGGTGCTACAATGATGTTCATGAGTCAGGTGAAATGTGAGCCATATTTTGGAAAAGAGTTTAAATGATCAGTGATAAAGGGGAAAAAACAAGCTAGCCATGAAATCGTTAAGGCAAATTGTTGCATGTAACCATACAATGCTGGCAAACGCTCGGTTCAGCTAATCTTCCTGAATGCATATCAGGAAGTACTTTAGGTTCTAATGTGGCAAATTGAAATAATATACTACAAACTATTGATGTATCCTAACCTACAAATAGCAGTCTTACATACTAGACATGATGGATAATGTTGCTACAACGAGGCCAGCAAATTTCCCAATAAAAGGCAATTGTTACAAAAGAATAATTGAAAGTTAATTCATAAGGGCAACAAAATCAATTTTCATGTAGATTTCATCTAAAATATAATTCAAAACATGTTTACATGTGATTATTTAATTGAAATAGGAACCTATAAATATTTCACTTAAATATTTAGGATTGGGAAGTTTCTCTTTGCTATTTAGCCAATCTTTTGTTTTCTAAGATGCTCACAGCCTGGTTTTGGATTATTATAGAGAACAAATGGTGCTCAAGGTTTACTTTGCCTATAAATCTTTCTAGAAAAATATTTTTAAGTAGATGTCAAAATTGAGAACAAAAGTTCCCTTGGGTAATAAATAAAATACTAACTTATTAGTCACATTATGTTCTCTTACCTTAAAATTGAGCAAACCCATTGCAGTTTCCACAAAAGGGATTAAATTCATAGGTTGTTCAAGTTTTCGGCCTTTTAAGTAGAAGGAAAATTTGTCTGAAAACTAAAATCAAAAGTGTCATAGGTGATTAGTAGGGGAAAAAAATGTACAATCACCGAAATGTAGACATAGAAGTAGTATTTAAGTCTTTGGCCTGAGGAAGTAATATCCCAGCCTATTTCGTACACAAAAAAGAATGAAAACAAAACAAAAATAGGAGGAAAGACCAAAGAAAATAGGTAACAAAGTTCCCACCAAACTAAATAGTAAAACCCCAAGCATTATAATTTTTTTTTTTTTTTCCCCCTAAAGGAGCAATTTGAGGCCTAGGAGTTAGAAGTGGAAAGAGAGATTCTGGAGTTTAGATGCTTTCCTTGAAAACATATTTACGTAAGACCTCTAGCCTTCACTTCGTTCAATGCAAATGGTAGGCCCCCAAAACAGTGAAGTCTTGCTCTACCTGCCATTCTGTTTTTGTTTTGGACCAGGCACTGACATCAGTGGAACTGTTAGCAGCCTTCTACGTGGAACCCATATTATTCATTATAGCACCATTATCCTTTGTTCAGAAGGTTTTTCTTCATAATTTTTTAGCTTACCTAGGAAGACCTTAAAAAGGAAGTTTAATTCTTTGAAGACCAAAGCTCGCCAATTTTTTCCATGAGACCAGTTCACAGCTAGCTCTGCGCTGCCAGTGGGGTAGCCCAAATTCCAAAATCTATCATCTGGAAACATACAAAAGCTCTTGCACAGATCTCCACCACCCCCCCTTTCAAAAGGAAAAAAAAAAAAAAAACCCACCACACTCTAAATTGTAAATCTATTATGTCTATCTAGATCTAATAAGATGTGGGGAGATAAAAAAAAAAACACACAGGTATGATAAAGCTATTTTTGTAAATAAAGATGAAAACATATATATCCATTTTAAATTTAAGGAATATTCAGCCATTAATGGATATCAAAGGAAAAGGGAATTTTAATCATCTCTCCATTCAGTCTCAGTTGGGTAAATCATATCTAAGAGATTTGCATAAATATAAACCATCAAAGACTTTTCATCTTCAAAGGGGGTTTCAAGACCCTATAAGCTTTGTACTGTAATCATGGCAGGTCACCACCCTGCAGGAATAGGGCTGCTATGGCAACATAAAAAAACTAATGCTTAAGGCTTAGCATAATATTCTGACTAATAGAAAGGAAACTCATTTTAAAAGCTGGCAGCCTATTTACCAGAAGCAGGATTAGAGGTGTTATTTCCCCTTTTAGCTGCCCCCTCCTTGCTTGTGCAGCACCCCCCTAAAAAATCTAATCACTGGGATCTTTAAAAAGCTTTTGAGCAATTTGCAGTAACTTTACAATTAGGCTAAAATAAATCACAGCTTTCAGTAATGAAGAATTATTCCCAGTTGCTCCCATTGCCCCTCCCTTCCTCAGACACCATCATCATCACCTCCTTAGTAACTTTTCAAGGGAAGGAATAACTCAACCAAAATAGCAAGAAAGAAGAGAAGGCTACAATGTAAGGAGACAAAATGTATAATATTACGGGAAAGTGAAAATAAAACCTAATTTATGTCACATTTGAGCTAGAAAATGGGTAGTGAAAGATTAGCAGTTTTGGTGTTACATCTGCACTGGAAGAACTTTTTTTTTCTCACTAAAAAAAAAAAAACCACAAAACAAAAAACACCGAAAAAACGTGCAACATTACTTGCCCCATTCTTTGCGTAAGAGTTTTAACTACAAGAATCATAAAGTTTAAAACTAGTTAAGTACTTTACAATATATTTCCTGTTCTTAGAAAAATCTCTAATGCCTTCTGTTTTTAAGCCAACAGGGACATTTAAAAATTAAATATTCTGGCCCATTCTCCTTCTCCTCCTCCCCTTCTTTCTTAAAAAATTGCATTAAGTACTGCCACAAAAGGTAACTAGTGGAGAAGTTTCAATTAATTTTTTCAAAAGGAGACGATTAAATGTTTCCGGCCTGGTAAAGTGTTCATTTCAGTGAGGTGGAGGGGCTGGGGAGGGGGGTGGAGGAAAAGAAGGGGAAAAAATCACAAAGAGATTGGGGAGGAGATGAAGTAGCAGGGCTCAGCAATTCTTTCAATTCCAGTGCACACCCAATAGTGTGTTGGAAGAATGCACACTGTTCGGGATTTGTGGGAGAATTGTCCCACGACAAAGAAGGCAGAGTCGCGCTTGTTATAGTCCAATAAGCCGTGCCAGTCAAACAAGAACCCACACTAGCGACAAAAGGCCGGCAAGAGATTCTCACACAAAAGGAAACAAGGAAGCCCATCTTTCAGTTGTGCATCAGGCTCTGGGTTTTATGCTTCACATAAATACAAACGGAGAGGAAAAAATAAACAGCCCAAAAGACTTCTGTTAACTAGAAATCCTATTTCTATCCAAGGATTTAAAACAGCGAACAGAAGCTGTAGCTCAAGGCTGGGGTGGGTCCTCCCCTCTTAAATGAAGGGTAATAACGGTGATAAACAGGCATTAACATGAAACCAAAAGGGAACAGTGGCTTCAGATTCCATTTCAATCAATTTAAGACACATTCGAATGGGGTAGGAGGCCTCGGGGATTGTAGCCTCCTGTAACCAGTATCTTCCAGCTTCTGAGGGGGTGACCTTGGAGAGAAGAACTCCAGTTTAGAAAGTAAATATGGGTCCTTGAACATGGGGCCTTCAAGAAGACTCCAACACGGAGCTGTCCAGCAGAAAAAATAATGGCAGCCACAGATGTAATTCTGAATTTTCTAGGAGCTACATTAAAAGAGGAAAATGAAATAGGTGAGTTTCGTTTGAATAATGTTTGTTCAACCCAATAGACCTGAAATATTAATCATCTCGACATGTGATCGATATAAAAACTACTGAGATAATTTACATTCTTTTAGGGGGAGGGGGCTGCTAAGTCTTCAAAACCCCATGTGTATTTTATACACTTACAGCACATCTCAATTTGGACTTGCCACATTTCAAGCGCTCAGTAGCCACATGGGGCGGGTGGCCAGAGCACTGGAAAGTACAGACTCGACGTATCTACATGCCTGAAAAAGGTGAGCAGGTTTCCTCTGGTAGTACAACTATTCGGTGTATAGCTGCATTTGCAGCCACAGCCTTAGAAATAATCCCAGATGTGGCATCAAGAGCCTGCGCCCACAGCCGTGTCCCAGGCCCGCTGCCCCCAAGCAGCCCAATGGGCAGGTATTTTATTCAGCAGAGATCTGCAAAATCATAGCAACCCCTAAATAAAATCTAGCCTCCCCCTCCTTGAACAATGAAAACAATCATAGTATAATTAGGCCCATTTCAAAGTTTTCTTAAGTCATTTGACATGCCAGGTTTTTATTGGCTGAAAAGTCTGTCATGAAACACACACACACCTGTCAGCAATTTAAAAAGGACGGACTAGAGAGCTGTTCAGGAAATAATATCTGTGCTAATTAAAACCACTAGTTGAAAGCTTCCTGTTTCTTCCTCTAGTTGCCCTCAGGAGTGACCTTGCCCTCTCCTCCTCTAGGTTCGTTTTATCATTCGTGGCTAATGTGCCTTTGCTGTCTATGAAGACTGCAAATGAACCTGGGTGGGAGCCATTTACTTCACTGCTCTTCCGGTGGAGGTTAGGGCCTGGCGGGCCGTGAGGAGCGATCCAGTTCCGGGGCAAGCCAGTTTCCGAGGATTGCTCTGTGAGGCTTCCGAGGAGGCTGTTCTGGCCAAACCGCAAGTCTGAGTGGGGAGCGGACGCATCATCCCGTGGGCAGAGTTGTTGCTCTGAACACTCTGGGTAAAGCCAGGCTCTCCTTGTGTGAAGGGAACAGTCTCTTGGGCTCCCTCCTTTCCTTTAGCTCCCTTTCTCTCTGCTCCATGCGTGTGTTTTCAAAATCTGCGGCACCCGAATCCTTCCCTTCTGCTACCCCTTCAGAGCTGCTCCTGAGCCTTTAATTAAAGCAAAGCATTAGCTTACTCACCCACTGGATTTCTTCAGGACTTTCCACCTTGGGCAGCATCAGGCTAGAGGGAAGGACCCGGGACTGCAGGAGGGTCTCCAGGTCCTCTTCGGCCAGACCGCTGGACACCGAGTTGACTCTCACACACTTTTCGGTTGGGCCCAGATCAAAGTCTTCAAGCGTTTTTACTATTCTCAGTCGAGCTTCATTCTATCAATGTCAATAAAATGTACCTCCTAAGTTTATTTATCATCGAGAGCAAACAATCCAACTGACCGTGGACCTGCTATGTGGATTCAGAATCTGAGCACCATGACTGTATCTACACATTTCCCCGTCCAGCAAATAAATGGTATTTGAAATAAGTTGTGCAATCTGACAGACAAGGGATTGATTTCCAAACTTCACTCACGATGACTGTAACAGAGATGACAGCCACTGTTGTGCATACTGGTGCACTTCTTAAATAGTACTGTGCCCTCGCTCGTTAGCATTGCTTTTCAACTATGAGGGTAAAATAACCAATAGGTAACGTTTATTGAGCATTTACTAAGCTCTAGGCAAGGTTCTAAGTCTTCTCCTGCATTTTCTCATTTAATAAATATAGGGAGCTACATAACACATGGATAACGGGTAGTCTTGTCTGTCAGCATATTCACATTAGGGAAAAAATAAGGATTTGTTTTTCTCTTTCCACATGCGTCATGTTTTTTAGTCACTTAAAATTTTTTTTGCAAGTGAGTTGAATTTTGCCATTCAATTAAGAAGGCGCTTACAGGAAAATGACACTCCACAGTACAAAAAAGCTCCAACTTATCCAGATGGAAGGCAATAATGCCACCAAGAAATCCCTTCATGAAGTGGAAAACAAATACTTTTTTTTCCCTTTGATTTGACAGTCTGTGCTCCATAGTTAAGAAAAGCTGAAAGGTTGAAAGCCTGCTTCAGTATGTGAATTGTCCCTAGAAAAACTGTATGAAACCAAACATGTTATTTGCTGGCTCTGAGTTGGGGTGTTGAAGGTGGGGAAGGGGGTGGGGAGAGAAAGGAGCGTATTGAGGGGCTGGGGGTTGGCGTCAAGAGAAAGAAAGCACTTGGGGTCATTACTTCCTGCCAATTTCAGTTTCAAAAACAAATTCCTTCAACTTGCCAACAGCCCTCAACAAATTCTCATTGTCAGAATGAACACTTATCAAAAGTAGTTTCATTTGGGAAGGGTTTTTATGATACTAATAAAACTTTAAAGCTTCTCACTGCTGACGAATGTGGTTTTTAAAAAAAAAAAAGTCTTAACAATATACAGCCATTTGAACAGCAATACTTACCTGGGAAAATAGCAAACCAAAGCGGAGACAAAAAGAGAATTATGAGAGCTGATATTGGGTCTAAGTCTAATCAACAAGACAAGCCAGGACAGTAGATTTAAAGCAGACGGATGTAGGTCTACGACCGAGTGGGAGCAGGGAAGGCTTCCAAATGTGGTCTGAGTTAAACAGTGTGAGGAAACAGTGGCTTAGAGTTGTCAGGTCAGATGGAAACAGAATACGTAGACCAGTTTAAGACAGTCCTGCGGAGCCCTGATTTACAGAGCTCTGACTGCAGATAATTAGGCCAAGCTTAGACAAAAGCAAGAGAGCGCGCACGCTAGCTAAGTGAAGGACGATGCGGCCAACAGTGGCTTGGTTCCACATCATGCCGTTGGCTATTCCACAGCTATAAAACTCATCCGCTTGCTCTGCCATGCCTTCTTTTTACATTCACTAACTAGGAAAATCCGAAGGTGAAGAGCGGAAGTGAGCTCAGTGTCATGGTTCCAAGAACATCTAGAGCTGTCGAGAGAAATGCCTTCAGCTCTTTGGCAGTGCGGGCATTTATATCCATGGCCTCCGAGAACCTAAAATGTGTTATGCTCCATGTAGCCCGCACAGCTACAGACTCAGGATTGCTCTCCAGCTTGTAAATATTTCAACTTCCAGGATTTCTTTCAGTAGCAGGTTGGGCTTGTCAAGGGTCTACTGGGACAGAGTGAATGGAAAATGGAAAGGAACGAACTAGATCATTTAGCCTGAAAGGCATTTTAAAACTTGGATTACTTGAATTGTCATCTACATTCTGCTTTAATCTGGGTTGCGCCCAAGGTGCAGGATCCCTGGCAACGTCAACTTCCTAAATTGTTCATGTTGGTGTCGAACAAAATCTGACCTCTAAGCTGTTTTGTTGCTTCCATTTGGGTTAGAAAGGGACTGTTTGTTCAAAGCTCGTGTTCTAAACCCGTTTGGGATTTTAACTAAAGTCAGATTACCATGGTTTCAGCACATTCCGGTTTATTTAGTAAAATTCAACCCTTGTGAAATTGGCTGCAAATGAAGTACCTAATTCCAATTTTAGGCATAATCTGATTAGTACTTTTCATGTTATAATAATGAACAGTGACTACTCAGCATTTTGTTAGACTTTTTTTTTTTTGGCTCAGAATGAAAACAAGCTCTTTCCACTTCATCATTCTGTACCTTTCCAAAAAAAGCTGATGGCTTTGGAGGTATATTGCCACACAACACCCTTATTAACAGGCTGTTGCTTGCTGCAATTTACATAAACTAAGTGTGCATCCCTCTGCTATGTATCCCAAAATACCCAACATCTTCACTGAAATTTACACCAACCAACAAGTATGTTGATTTTTTCTTTTTTTCTTTTTGGTGCTTTAATGGTGAAATATGTTACTGTGCTAGCAAACACACCCATACCATCTGTTGGGTGAGAGGAAGACAGTTTCTAAGAACAATTAAGTTTAGTTCTGGGTGCTCAGCTAGAGAGAGCCACCATCCGCCCAGTTGTGAAAAGAAAGAAATTCTGTTCATTCTGTTCTCTCCCTCCCTCTCTCCCTGATACCAATCTCTCTTTCTCACAGCTCTCTCCTTTGCATCACCTTGCTCCCTTCACATTTTCACTCTCTCTCTCTTTTTCCTTGGCTTCTGTTTGGCCCTGACTATCCTTCCAATTTCTTTTCTTTTTTTTTTTTTTTTTTAAGATTTTATTTATTTATTTGACAGAGAGAGAGACATAGCG